TGGGAAAATTAAGATGATAAGTGCACAAGGATCCTGCACAAAACACAACTCAATAATACCAGCAGATATTTAGATGATAACCTTTTGGTAATCTATAGTTTACATTTAACCGTGATTTAATGCATCCACCAGGACCTAATTTGAGTTTATCCAGTCATCATTTTCTTCTGTTTGAATTTGATAAAAGTTAAAGTGCCGAATATATTTTCATATTTAAGCCTGGTTTTGATTGTTGTTTATATAAGATTTTTGGTCTTTTCTCTTTATATGTTGTAGTGGCAGTAAAACTCATTGCAAGAAATCTCGATAAGAAACAATGGCTGTTGAACATTTTATTTACTGAAAAAAATACATTTTCTGTGCGAAAGCGGTACTTCAACCTTGCCACATTCAAATGGAGAGTTCTTAAGAAAATAGGATTTAAATACAAAATGTTTTAAATGAAATGTTATTCCTCACCCATGCAGAGCAGAATTATTGGATTCGGCTGTCATCTTTTCGTTTTTCTGGAGAAACCTCTGTACAAATATATTAAGAAAAAAGAAAAAAATACTGATAGTAATACAACTATTGATTATTTTACACTTATCGCTTAAAGAGTTGATTTATTTTAATGTTCTTGACTCACTTTTTATTCAATACTCATATCCATCAACCCGAAGTGTTATTCATAAGTAACATATTTCATCTTTTGATAATTTTTATATACAAATGCAAATTTTACCTATTTTGTAAAACAATGTATTTAAGAAAATCGGAACTGCAATGAATTATCTAAAAAGTAATGCATATTTTTCATTTCAACTGAATTTAGTTTTAGGTTTGAAAAGTCCTCATTCATTTTTTGAATTGATATTCAAATTTGCAAAATATAAAAATATGGAGATGTGGTATAATTGCCAATGAGACAACTATCCACCCATGTTCAAATGAAGTGGATGTAAGCAATTATAGGTAATTTTCAACAAAGAGAAGAAAAAAACATACCGTATAGTCGGCTATGAAATATCAGTTTTGAGATTGAAAGAAATTTTTTAAATGGCACAGGTGTGAATAAATTTAAGGGAAATTGGTCGTTCCTCCTGTCAAATTATATGACAATGGTTACAGTTAGATTACAATACAGTTTAATGTATTACCATACTTAACTGAACTAGAACCATAAAAGTTCCAGTTTCAACCTCAGTGGCAAATCGACAATATACTTTTGAAATAAAAAAAAATCGAAGCTGAAAAGCATGTTTGTGTCAATACAAATAAAAGTTCTATAGGTTGCACTTTGTAAATACAGCTGTTTCACAAGCCACGCCTCTTTTGGGGAGATATATAATATTCATAGATATTTTGTTTTGTTTACGTACTTGTTCCCAGATATGATCTCTATGTTCTCATCTCATAGAGACATAACTTGGGAATGTTACCAGCATTTATACACATGGTTGCGGGGAATTTTGAATTCTGAGGGTCACCCAAAATGAAGGAAGGGGTAGTACAGAATTTAAGTATAAGTTTAAACTCTTAGAAGTTCGGGGCATATAAATGTTGAAAATATGCCGCGCAGCCCTATGTTTTGACCTTTGAATAAAATAGTAGTGCATATAAACTTTCCATTCTAGGATTTAATTTTTCACGAAACTTCATAGTAAAAGTGGCACAGTTTTAGCCGTAAAGGGTGTTCCTATGGGAAATTGCATTGTCTATATTTACAGAAATGCAACCTATATTGGGTGAAAAAAAAGAATATCTAGAAATTCACCAAATCTGGTTTATCTCAGAGATTTTAATGAAATTAACTCAAATATAAAGTTTTGTAAATATTTAATTATGATTGAGAAAATCCTGGGCCTTAACTATGATGACTCAGCATAAATTCACAGTTTACAGTATGCATAGTTAACTTTTAGCCCTGAATGCAAAGAAAATTCATAATATATGCATATTTGTAATTTAAATTGTTTAAAAGTGTTTATTTTTACTCTTCGCAGTCATTGAAACTCATAGATCCTTGATAAATATTGTTGTTGGGTTGTTTTTGTCCTGTCGATAACCCAAAAATAAGCCGTAACACCTGAATGTGCTTTTTTGTGACCGCGGCATAAAAAAATACAAGCTAGAAATACAAAAATACCTCAATAAAAATAACAAGAGTGTGTTCTATCCATAATATGTACTGAATATTCCATATTCACAGAAACAGCAGTATTTATTAGCAAACTCGAGGCCCCAGTGGCAAAAAACAGAGAAAAATGCCTACCCCCTGGGTCATAAAACAGATAATTTAACCTTTAAATGCTATAATTTTATTATTATAAAGGTCTTTTGTATTGAAAACAATAACTGTGCTTGGAAGTTATGCAAAAAATATGTAAGCAGCCAGTTCTATAAAACTTTTAGTGAATTCATACATCAGACTGGTAATTTCACACATACAACTTTTGCAAATATGGCTCTGTTTAAACACTTTTAGTTCATATATTAGCTAAATTATGTTAGATATATGGTGAGAGATGATATTTTTGTGACAAGATTTCTGAGCTGACCATTGGAGGCAGAAGCTGTAAACTTTTATTGATAGATAGGCATGAAGGAAGATGTGGACTGGAGACAGATGCAGGATTGGATACTTAATAAAATCTTGAATGTTGGAATTATTAACTACTAAACTTTACATTTATAGTATTCTGAAATGCTTTGAATTTGTTATCAGAACAGTTTCAAACAGGATCTAGACATTGCATGTCAGAAAACATGCACATAGGTTGAACTGATAATAATGAAAGACTTGTTTTCAAATTCTTTAAAAATTGAAACAGGGGTAAGGGGTATAAAATGTACTGTAAAAGAAAAGTTACAGTATATGCAGTGATTTCTTTTGAGTTAACATTCTGATAAATAACTATTGTTTAGAGAAAAAGTGTTTTTCAAGATTTTTCTATTTGAATAAATGTCAGTACAAGTTGCACTTTGTAAATATAGCTGTTTCACAAACCACGCCTCTTTTGGGGAGATATATAATATTCATAGATATTTTGTTTTGTTTACGTACTGGTTCCTAGATATGATCTCTATGTCTTCATCTCATAGAGACATAACTTGGGAATGTTACCAGTATATATTCACATGGTTGCGGGGAATTTTGAATTCCGAGGGTCACCCAAAATGAAGGAAGGGGTAGTACGGAATTTAAGTATAAGTTTAACTCTTAGAAGTTCGGGGCATATAAATGTTGCAAATATGACGCACACCCCTATGTTTTGACCTTTGAATAAAACAGTAGTGCATATCAACTTTCCATTCTAGGATATAATTTTTCACGAAACTTCATAGTGAAAGTGGCACAGTTTTAGCCGTAAAGGGAGTTCCTATGGGAAATTGCATTGTCTATATTTACAGAAATGAACCTATAAGAAAAAAGAAGGACGAAAGATACCAGAGGGACAGATGCAGGATTGGATACTTAATATAGTCTTGAATGTTGGAATACTTGTATATTTATCTTCATATAAGAATTATGTTATCTAATGAAAACACAAATGACATTTGGTATAACAAATTAAAAAGTTAGGGTTGCAAGTATCATACAATTTACTTTTCATCAATATAATTGAGACAATTATCCTCATATTCAACCGGATATGCGTCACTTTTGCCAAAAGTGTTTTGGAATAGGGTTCAAATAGGTTAGGCATTTAATTCAGGCGTGAATTGTGTCTATTTCTTTAGTTAATTTAGAAAAAGACTACATATTAGTGTATAAAAATATGGCAATTTGGCAAGATTGCAATTGGAACAACTGTCCACCAGAGTTCAAATTTTGAAGATATAAGCAGTTATAGGTCACCGTACGGTCTACGTTAATGAGAAAACCTATACCGTATAGTCAGCTATAATAGGCCCCGACATGAATGTGAAATAGTATAATCGAGTAACAATACAAATATGGCGATATGGCAAGATTGCAATTGGAACAACTGTGCACCAGAGTTAACATTTTGAAGATATAAGCAGTTATAGGTCACCGTACGGTCTTAAATAATGAGAAAAACCTATGCCGTTTAGTCAGCTATAATTGGCCCGACATGAATATGAAATAATATAATCGAGTACCAATACAATTTACGAAAAACAAATATGGCAGTCATGAAACAGAGACAACCTTTGAGTTTCAGGCTCCCGACATGGGACAGGCACGTACCGAATGTGGCTGGGTTAAACATGTTTATTATCATTCAACCCTTCACCTAACCTTAAACGCAGAATAATGTACAAGTATCATGTGGTGAATATGACAATTCATAACAACTAGAAATGTGCAATATATGTGTTATAGCCCGTTAGCATCATTCGCTTAAATACTTATATATTTATCTTCATATGTAAATTGTGTAATATATTTTCAGTGAAAGCATATGAACGTAAATTATTAAAATCTTATCTTCTAAATTTTAAATATATATACGTTTACATTTGATTTGTTTTCTTGTACAGTTTTTTATGTGACTTAAGTGACTTGACAAGAAATTGTATACACTTTAGATGGCAGTCGTACAATTGTAACTACATGTAACTGACCATTCAAATGGTTCAATAAATATATTTGAAAAGATATGTCACGATGTGAAAAAACATGACGACTTTCCTGTATTTTATTCATCAGACGAAAACAATCTTATTTTGCTGTTTAACATTATCCAGCAATTAAAATATGTCTCATTTGTTGGTAGTTAAATATGTATAAGCTATTATATTTTGTTTTACAGATGAAATATCTGTTATTGCTTGCCTTATGTGCTGTGGTTGTATTGACAGAAGAACCAAAAAAGATAAGATCAACAACATCTGACCACATTGTTGCTGGTCTTAATGCAGGCAAAGAAATCGCAAGTTTTTTCGAAAATAATACGGAAATACCAAAAGTTTTGTCAAGCCTAGCAAAAAATGTTGCACCTTTTCTAGGAGTGATAGGTCCATTGGTGTCATTTATTGCTGGATTTTTTAATAAACCTGGACCTTCAGCAGAATTACTGGCTATTCAACGACTTGCAAAAGATATTGACCATCGATTTGATAAAGTTGATTCACAATTTGCCGAGGTTAAAAGGTTAATTCAATGGAATACAGTCAGAGTTCAGTATAGTAGCCTTGAACAGAAAATTAATGCCGTCTATCGTAAGTACAAAGAAATGTATAGTGCGCCTACCAGTGCAATTGCTGGCGAGAAAGTCTTATTCATTACCAATTACGAGAGTGATTTTCAGAATAGTGGTATTAAGCTTTATGAAGGCGTAATGAATGTTGGAAATGTATTTGGTGATGGACTTCTCAATCCTTGTATGAAATTCACTCTTTATGACAGAAAACAATGCGGAACTTTCAGTTCTGGTATATTGAAATTGTTATTGCGTGCAGCAGAAGTAGAACTTGCGTACCTTCAGGTGAAAGGTCTAGGAAAAAATGTACCTTATCATACCAGCCAATGGAAATCTCGTCTGGATGAAATTCGATCTGCAATGAGTCATGCAGACTCAACGATAGCCAGCAAATATCACGACCAGTCGGGTGCTGACATCGACAAATATGCTCTCGATCACTCAACTAATGATATGAATAATCATGACTTCGCCAATAATTTATACAATTTCATTGCAAAGAAGTATTATTGGCGCGACTGGTTGGTCATCGCCTACAAAGATGTTACTGGAGATGATAAACACTACCAGCATGAATGTAGTGGACACCTCAAGTTTAGGGACCACAGCCGCAATATTGTTGTCGCTAGTGTAGACAAGAGAAAGTCACACATGGATTTGAATAAAGCAAAAGCAGTTGTTAATGGTGTCACTGACCATACATCACACCATCAACATCGACCGAACCCCCATAAGATCATTTACCACAGATTTAATGCTCATGAGGCATATGATACGTTTGCAAGTGCAGCTAAAAGTGGCTGTAGTCCTTATGCTGCTGCAGGTGTGGTACAGAACGAGGCATCGCCGTCATACGCGGCAGCAAGTAGCAGATTTGTTTTACGAAATGCCAAGTATAATCATATTCACATATTTGGATAAAATATTGATATGAATTAAAGTTATGACATTTATATTTGTATCAGATTTTAACTGTCATATTATTAATTTTACCACGAAGTAAAAACAGTCTGAATAGAACTATTAACCCATCTACAGTATAAGGCAATTATTAAGATTGGTATATACTTCAAGGATTTTGTTTTATATGTTCTTGATTTCATGCATTAGAACTAATTCTGAAAAAGAGGTGACTTCATTTTGTTAAACTATAAGTAGCACACCCCAACAGCATTTTCTGATTAAATATTGCAGAGTCTGTGGATTCTATCATCCTTTCCTCAACGGAAAATTTCAATAACTGAGTTAAGGGTCCTGGATTGTAAATTTCAATTCATATTTTCTTTTGAAGGAAAATTAATATAATCATCAAACTTCTTAGTGAGATGATAGAGATGATGATGATGATGATGATGATGATGATGATGATGATGATGATGATGATGATGATGATGATGATGATGATGATGATGATGATGATGATGATGATGATGATGATGATGATGATGATGATGATGATGATGATGATGATGATGATGATGATGATGACGATGATACCGACGACGACGACGATGCTGATGGTGACGATAATCATGCTTTATATTTTATTGCTACATCTGAACAGACAAAAAGTTATACTGTCACGTAGGGGATATATATCAAATGTGTGCAAAACGCAAGGACGTATGTGTCCATCAAAAGACACGAACAATCGAAATTGTCCGAAACAGAAAAAAGGGAATGAAAAGTTGTACCACATGACAATTTCCATAACAGATTTTGAAAATACTATTATTATACAACCCGCCATCTGTGGCGGTCGGGAATAGGGATGGATATTCCGTCCGACCGTTCGTTCAACCGTGAGCAGTCTGTCCGTTTAGTCGTCGGTCCGTCCAACTTTGTATCCGGAACTCATCCTGAACTGCTTGACGAAATATTGTGAATCCTACTCCTATAATGTCCGTTTACACCATCTTCTTAATTCCTAAACCGAATGATTGTTTAGATTTAGCAAATGAGGAACTTTGTCAATGCTTGGTCTGGAAGTATCTGCAAATCCATCTAACACCCTCATAGCAAATGCATTTTTGCCTTATCTTATATGTATGATGCCATTTTTTATCTGAACTATGTTTTGGTTTTGCCTAGGCTTATCGAAGACTTTGTCATTACTTAGTATAGGGCGGAGTTATTATTTCATTGGATTTTTCAAAGTACTTCTAGTTTTAGATTGATCTCAATATGCTCAGAAATTAATTCAAACTTTTATTATAATGTTACGATTTAAGAGACGTTTTCTTTAATTGTGTATATAAAAAGAAGATGTGGTATGATTGCCAATGAGACAACTCTCCACAATAGACCAAATGACACAAAAATTAACAACTATAGGTCACCCACTATTTTCTACATAGGAAAATGCCTGTACCAAGTCAGGAATATGACAGTTGTCCATTCGTTTGATGTGTTTGTGCTTTTGATTTTGCCATTTGATTAGGGACTTTCCGTTTTGAATTTTCCTCGGAGTTCAGTATTTTTGTGATTTAACTTTTCACCGTACGGCCTTCAACAATGAGCAAAGCCCATACCGCATAGTCAGCTACAAAAGGCTCCGAAATGACAAATGGAAAACAATTCAAACGAGAAAACTAACGGCCTAATTTTCGTACAAAATATATAGTGAACGAAAAACAAATATGAAACACAGCAACGGAGTTAAACTAGTTTGAATGCGCCAACCCTCCCCCTAATATGGGACAGTGGTGTAACAGTACAACATAAGAACAAACTATAAAAGTCCGTTGAAAAAGGCTTAACTCATCAGATAGATACAAATAGAAATATATCCAACAAAAACACAAAATGGATGTGGACGGGTACTTGTACATGCCAACAACAAAAAGACACTCAGCACAGATATGAGAGTACTCGTAGTTACTGGCATCTAGTTCAAAGCCAATAACAATTAATAAAAAAAAATTATGCATCTAAGACTAAATTATCAATTGGTACACATCCAACATCCTATGAATTTAGTGTAAAGACATCATAATCAGTCAGAGAAAAACATGACCTTGTGCAATGCCAAATACAGGTATCGACAGATTGTAGAGCCATGAATATGTATATAACAATAATATTTAGTTTGATTTTAATTTCCTGATAACAAAATCAATATTAATACCAGTTTAAACACTACTCAAAGATCTAATTACAGTATTGAATTAATAACCTTTTCGAATAAGTTTATTTAAAGAATCGATAAGTTTATCGGGATCGTTTCTAAATTTCCGGGCTCGGAAAACAAAATCTCCGTAAAAATGAGGATGTGGTATCCCGTTTGAAATAAGTTTTCTAGAGGTACAACGAAACTTCAAAACCAAATCTTTATATCTATGAAAGAATTTAGTAAAGGTTTTAAATAATTTGTGGTAACGAAATCCCCGACTTAATAATTTACCAGTAATACATTATAGATTACGTTCATTAAAATCCAAAACGTCACAACATATACGGGCATAGCGAACGAGTTGTGATATACATCACCATCCAAAAAAGGAAAATTAACAAAAGGGAACGAAAATTCCTCCCTTTTGTCGTATATTTTAGTGTAGAGTTTCCCGTGTAAGACTGAAACATTTAAATCTAGGAAAGGACAGTTTTTACCGTTTATATTTGATTTAATTTTTAGTAAGTTCCTTTGGGTAAATTTCGGCAGTATATTTAGAAAATTCTTGATTATTTAACGAAAAAATATCATCAAGATAACGGTAAGCGTTGTTGAATTTATCAATAAAATGCAATTTAGGCGGTTCTTTACTGAGTTTGGTCATAAACTGTGATTCATAACAGTACAAGAACAAGTCTGCTATTAAAGGGGCTCAATTAGTGCCCATAGAAATACCTATAAACTTTATTGCCGAAACGTACATAGATATTATGCACGTTTAAAAATGTGTACGATTATACATTTGAAAAAAAATATGTCACGGTCAAATGGTTTATTCGTTTAACATTTATTGATACATAATAGACATAGCAATGTGTTTCTTTTGGACAATAGTATCTTGCTAAAAAAAAAAGTATGCAAAGTTATAATCTACATTTTTTTTATTTTCTTTTTTTTGTATCTTTAGTTATCAATGACAAATATTGAGTTATAGACAACACGTTGTATTTTACAAACATTAAAGTTAAGAGAAACATAGAAGAAGTTGCGTGGTATGTATATATAGGTCTTTGTGTCATGACCCTTGGTTTGACGTAGATATTGTTTGAACAGATGTAAAGTTCGTTCTATTTTACATTTGAATTATGTTAAAATTTACACGTGACCACTATAGATATATCATAAGATAGATCAAGAATTAAGTTTACAGAATCACATGAACAGCGAGCAGTATAAAGGTTTGTCTAGACACTATTTTATTTTTTGAGAATTTAGTTATATATATATATATATATATAATTTACAGATCTAACATTGTTGGGCTGATGTTTAGACGAGTTGTATATACAGAATGTACACAGCCATGTATCACCATTACTGCTGGTGATCCGATGGATTAATCTGTTGTAGAGTTGTCACTAGTTCAGACGTACTTATAAATATAATTATTTCTGTGACTGTATCTTGCATTAATTTGAGGATCCTTTACAATAGATATTTCAGCTGATCTGTAACAATTCCATCTTCATGTCTTATATATCATGTACTGTATTACGACGCTAGATTAAAACTGACAAGGAAAGGTAACACTCGGCCACCGAAAGCTTTATTATTGTGAAGCCGAGGAGGTGGTCGTGTGGTCTAGCGCGTCGGATACAGTGCAGGCGATTTGGTGTCACGATATCTCAGTAGCATGAGTTCGAATCATATATATATACAGCACAAACAACGTTTTCCAAAAGACCTAAAAAGTGAAAAAGTATATTTTAACAAAACGCATTTGACTAACAGGTCGAACAACAGATGTTCTTAAACCCTGCTGACTGCCATTGGCGATTGCCAAATAAACGGATCACAAGATGTTACAAAATGGATCTTTTAAAATTATTAATTTAATACTAATCAGAAAACAATAAACTTGCGGAAAAGATGGTATACCGCAAACAAAAGGTGCAAAAATTAGTACACCATATCCGGATTTCGACAATTAATGTCTCTTCAGTAAACGGTATTTGGAAGGCCATATAATTTACCTGAATTATTAATTTAATACCAAATAGAAATATATATATATATATATATACATAATAACTTTAAATATCGGCACAACAGTGTTAAATCTGCAAATTTACGGAAGCAAATTTTTGTTCTTCCCCATATATATATTATAACGATATACATATATATATATATGTTCAAAAGACCAAATGAGTGAACAAAGTATATGTCAACAAAACATTGCTGACTGTCATTGGCGATTGCCAAATAAACGGATCACCGATGTAATAAATGGATCTTAATTATAAATTTAATACTAAACAGAAAACAATATATATATATATATATATATATATATATATATATATATCGTTTTTGGCCTGGTTGTAATATTAGTCTGATGTCTCATGACTTTTTCACAAATCTCCTTCTTGTTCAGTTCGCATGTCCATGTGATAATTATTCATTTGGTTTTATCAGGAATAAATAATTTCCAATGTCATTCTCCCTTGATTTGATATATAATCATTTTATTAGCAATCTTATCCATTATGTGGACAGTGCAGTGGGATTTTGCAGAGGGATTGTGAACAGTACAGAGAGATGTAGCTTTTTCTAGAAAATATAAAAGGATAGTTTATTTTGTATTCGTACTTAAACATTTGTTAAATTATATATTGTATATAATAGTGGAAAATCTTCATCTTTTGAAAAAATAGGTTGAAATAAAGACAACATTATCGCGATATTGAACTGAAGACTTTACTGTAGGATTATTACGCTACCGGTATCGCTCCTTTCTGGGTGCATG